ACTAGGGGCGCCGCAGAAGTAGAGCAGTACTGGAGTTGCTCTACGCCTTTTGCCATAACCTCACGTCTGTAACTCCTGATTCCATACGATCTGATGAAAATATTGTGAGATATTCAGTATTCCAAATCTCCTAAGGATGACAGAGATGATAGTATGATCATATAAATCTGACAAAGCACAATTTATATCATACTATTTCAACTACTCCAGCTATTTGAATAGTTAGCTTTATTCTAAAAAGTAGAGGAGCACTTTTTTGCGCCACAATGAAAAAAATGCTTTTTTCAAACTTTCACTACTAGTCTATCTCTCTCAATTCTTTCCTTGTTATGTCTAGAAGAGTTCACTACATTTCTGGTGCATGTTAACGTTACGGGAAATATCTAAATTCTGAGAAATAAACCTTTTCGAGTGAGATATAAGAAAGAATTGCTGCAACACTCGTACACCTCATGTTGCCTTACATTTTTCAACTTGCTTTCATGCTGAAAAGACTAAGTAAGTGCTTCATTAGAAATTTTTGAAAAACTCCAAAAAAAGCTACCAAAAACACTCTAAAGTTAACGAAGCATTACCGTCTATCTCATCAATATTATCTGTTTGAAAGGTTCCGCATTGCTTTAGATTTCTCCCTAATGGGTTAATGACCCACGAAAGAAATGAAAATCCTGTAACTACAAAGAAAAACCTCTGTGAGAGCATCTTCGCATAGCCAAGTAGTGCAATTAACGTGAAGCTCTCGTGCAGCCAGCTGCGTTGAGATGGTGCCACCCAAAAGGACCAAGGCGTTTTCTGACCAATTAAGTGTTATTTAAGTGGCGCACACTGCTCGTACAGCGCTAAAAACTTTCGCTCCAACACTTCTTATGCAATCACACTGTCACGCGGTGTACTAAAGATGATTTCAGACATACATCTCTACGATTTACCTCGACGGTACTTGCCTCAATCAAGCTCGTAAATCGTTGCCAGAGCGGAAAGAATCCGAAAAGATGTAAGATTTGTGGTGAACGAAGTTCATATTCACTCTTAAGAAATCTGCGCTTGAGGTTGGTTGATGAAGTAAGAAAACTCTCAGAACATTCAATCATAATAATTGCCTCGTTTTTGGGCATGGAAGAGACCTTGGCAGGTGCAAGCGAACAACTTTCAGTAAGCAAATCCACTTATCAATGGTGAGCATACATTCAGTGAATTATCCAGTTTAGGAAATTATATCGGTTAGCCCTAGAATGCTGCCTCTTATAAGAAAATGCGGAGTTGAACGTGGCGAATTTATTGCGATAAGTGATAGAACTTCTTCGCGAATTCGAGTCTTATCGAATAACTCTATTTGGTCTAGGTAAGGATTCAATGTGGTTTGAATTATTTTTGTCAATTTTTGCTCGTTACTATGTTCGTTGCAGGTGTTTCGAAGCTCTCTACGCATTTAGAAAAGTTCCGAAACCAGCAATGATCATAGACTTGTCACCGGATGGAGAACATAAACGGTACGACTTTATCAATGTAGAGTATAGTTTTATATGTTGTTTTTACGTTGTTTATCTCTAGAGTTATTGACAAAAACATTCTTTGGATACCGTATAGTGATCACTCCTCTCGTATGGAAATTCAGGAATTCTTGTCAAGGTTTCTTTCAGCACTAATTCTAGCCTACATCAGACCAAGCATGTCATCTACTATATTCAGGCTTCGATATGGAAAAGTGGTAAATATTCATAAGTCAAACAACAGGCAGTTGCAGACTTTGCGAAAAGCATTGTAAGACACATTTTTAATGCTTTCAGGACCAGATTTTTTTTAACAATAAATGTGTACTCTTGTGGCTATTTGACTATACTGACTCTATCAATCACTTTGAGTAATTCGTGGCTTTTAGGAAGAAACTAGCAGTTTGTGAAGGAAAGGAAAAGAATGGCTTCAAAAAAAGCAGGAGAAGGTCCCGGAAGTCTAAATCTAAATCAAAGAAGAAAAAGAGGTAGTTTTGAATGTTGTGACGATAATCAGGTATTAGAAACTTATCTTAAGATAGGCTAATTTCCATTTAGTGCCAAGCATACAAAAGCCGAGTCAAAGGGAACACTTGTACACTTTTTTGCCATAATCCCTGTAGAAGTTACTCCATTGTTTTCGTTTTAGTGCTAAGCGTGTAAAAAACGAGACAGAGGAAACACTTGCATCGGACCCAGCGATATCCGTTGCTACAACTTCTGCAGAAAGGCAAGTGTTCCTTTTTTCAGTTTATTTCAGTCTTTTACAGGAGTCCCTGTAGAAGATAATTCATCGAAGGCCATCTGAAATTTTGCATATTTATTTCGAAATTTCAGCATCACTCTCTCTCATCCGAAGAAAGGGCGAAAAGCGACATATCCTCCAAAGTGGAAGTAAGCACTGTGCTTAACTTTTTTTTAGAGGCTTTTCGAAAGATAATGACTTTTTGGTTTTTATCACAGTTATTCGCTTTTTTTTCTTGTTAACTAGTTGCTTTCAGATGTAAGCTGAAGAGGAAGAAACCTTGGGTTTCGAAGAACGTTTTAGGGGGAGTGAAGAGGTAGGTAAAGCTTTCATAATGCGGGAGAGCTCACATTCATACATCCATAACAACATTTATAGAGAGCATGATGATGTGGAACACACAGCATGGAAAGAAATGGATCCTAGTGCTTTAGCCGGATATGGACCCTCAACAT